CGATTAAAAAGAGTGGCGGAAAGTTTCTTGCCAGTCCTTATTGCGCGCTCTACGCCCTTGACTTGCAAACTGGTAGTAAATGTAAATTTACAAATAATTTAACTTCTTTTTTGACGTTCATAAGTGTACTTGTTTACCTATGAATAAAGATATTTTGAGTTTGATACAACTTGAACACATTGATGTAATCATATACATACATTAGTTTATAATTATATATTTCGTTTATCAAAACACATAACAATCAAATATACAGTTGTATATACTATTATATTTTCTTAATCTACATTATAATAATAAAAATATTTATTAATAAAAAGAAAATTAAGACCAATTTAACAAGTTTGATCCCTGTGGCAGTGTACCTTTAAGGCTGGCAGCATTTCCTCGTTGTATTGCGATACTTATTTGTTGAGCGAGGAAAGCACCAGCTCTAGGTTCACCGGTACTATCTACGGTACTCTAATACCTGAGGTCGAAGGTTCGATCCCCGGGTGTGCACCAATGGACTTTCTGTCTATGCCCAATTAACATTCCCTCGAACGGTGAAGGGAAAAATCGTGAGAAAACCGGCTAGACTTAGACCCAAGAATTCGGCAGCGTGTGGTAGCCACAGAAGGTAAACTTATTGTTTACACATACGTCCTAATAAAACGCTTTAAAGCAACCAATTAATCAGTGTTAGTTAACTATAGTCCTAATGTAATAAAAGCCTAATAAAAGGACTAACCAAATACATATAATAACACACATTTCAACTAATTTTAGAAGTGAAACTTCTTTATCGGGGTTGGAAAAAAATTTAGTGTAACATTTTTGCGTTACGCGTCACATTTTACCGTTACGCGCCATGTTGCTTTTTAAAGTCAAACTTCTTTATCGACGTTAAAATATGACATATAGTATGTTTTTGACTTTGAAGTTTGACAACGGATTACATTTTCGAAGTCAAACTTCTTTATCGGCGTTAAAATATGACATATAGTATGTTTTTGACTTTGAAGTTTGACAACGGATTACATTTTCGACTTGAAATTTGCTAATCGCAATTTGCAGCAATGTAGTAATTATTGTTTATTTATTTATAAAAGCTTGCCAACGCTCAGCACACTAACACCTTGGTACAAGAACAATAAAATACAATATTCAATGTGACAAGCACTTATAGGCAAATATAACAACATGAAGAGCTAATAAAAATATATATAGAGAGGCAGTATGGATATCCAGACCCAGCTCGTTTATCAGAAATCTGGGCATCGGTGAGTTTTGGCCAAAACGTGTTCTCCGGAAAGGAGGAACAAATGGAAAAACAGGAATGATGGGAGCCTAGTATCTAGAAGATAGACGAAACTTAAATTTTGTTAAAAGGTTGGGGCATTCGACCAGATTGTTAAATACAACCGATACATCCATTAATTTTTTAGCCTGATTTCAATTGGTGACGACTCATTGGTCATGGTTGTACTGACTGCGATCCATGGTCCGGTTGTCCCCGTGACTGACATGATTATGAGCATTTGGTGTTGTGCTTAGGTTTTGGGTGTATATATGTATTTATATGTCTATCTATCTATAATATGTATGTATATCCGTTGCCTAGTACCCATAAACAAGCTTCACAGTGAGGGACTAGGTTTCAATTGGTGTGAATTGTTTAGAAAAAAATATAGATATTTTCTATAACATTATAAACCAAAACATTTCAAAATTTAATTTTACATTAGTCTAAAGAAAAAAAAGTAAAATAAAATTTTACTTGTAGGTATGTTTTTTTATGCACTTCTTGCGCTTTACCCTTAGTTTTAGATTTGTTACGTTGGTTTCCTAAGCATGCCTGGAAAAGATTGCTTGTTAGCGATACACCGTTGTATCACTAATAATTTATATTATTTGTTTCATTTTTAATGAAACGAAGTTTTACAAATAAATAAATTTCAATTAAAAAAGTCACTAAAGTTTTAAAAAGACCTTGATAGTCGAGTTATTTCGAAACATTTCATCTAACAAACGTCCTTAATCCAAATTATTTTAAAATCGTATACAGAAGTATCAAAAGCTCGCAGCAAAGATTTGAATGGTCATTGAGGTAACTCATTTGCGTAACAACAAATACTCTGCTCGGAAATAGCATATTCAGAGTAAGAACTATTGAAACTAGACCGGTATTCTCCGTCCTATTTCATCACTTTATATGAGCTCTCGAGCTGAAGTCCAACGGGAATGTTCTAGAATATGCATAGGAATTAATTTGAAAAATATATGGAACCTTCGCTAAGTCGACATTCAGAGCTTATTTACGTAAATAATGTATGTAAGCATTTTCTTTTTGTGATATTTATGACGATAATTTTTTTTTTAATACGATACTTACGGTACAAATACGTGTATTTCAAGAGTTACGTAACATAACATTAGTTCAGTGACATATAAATATTTTAGTTAATAATTAGAAGAGCAAACGAAATGTTTAGTTTTTGAAGTAAAACTTCTTTATCGGCGTTGGAATGAAACTTCTTTATCGACGTATGGGAGAAATTTTGTAGCAAATCGTCACGTTTTTCAATGATAGTAATAATTCTATTACAATTAATAAATTTCTATAATAATATTCGTAGTAATAAGGTAAAATTAAATATTTGTATTCATGTCTATGATAATAAAAGCCTTTTGTTAAACTTTATCTAATTTAACAAATTTCTGTAAAGTTGCATATAGTAGATCATTTTTCGAAAAATAAGATCATAAAGAAGTTTCACTTCTTACGTGTGTACACCTAGTACACGCACAATTTATTTTACCCTTTAGTTTTCCCCACACTCATAAATTGTATTACATATAACATTCTCGTTTCCGATAATGTCCAATAGGACAACACTTATATTCTGTATAGGTAACATTAGTGTCACTTAGATTTAAGGACCCTTAAATAAGCCAAGTTAGTTTTTGTTAGTGTTGCAACCCCACTACACCTAATGTTAATTATAAGCTCATATTTAACGATTAACACCCAGCTTCAAAGAGATTCATTTAACATTTATTTGAACATCCCTCAAACAACCGCCACTGAACTTAACTATTTAAAAACAAAAACTATTTATTTTAATTGCCCATACACATTGTGTAACCACTATTTACAGAGACTTTAATTCACTGTCGGGAACTCGGTGAAATTTAATTTATATTAGGCAACTGGATTAGCTTCAATTTGAGCGTCCGACATAAATACTTTGATCTCGTTAGCGTGACTCTTTATTAAACCAACACAATAGGAGGCAGTCCTTTTATTAAAGCCCTGTCTTTACCTGCTTAATTTGGCCGTAGAATATTACTTAATAACTCAATTCAAATTAAATTCACATTTAATCTGTTTGCTTTTGATTATTACCTTAAAACAGAACAATTATGGCTTAAACGGGAATCGTTATTAATTTTTACTACTATTACTTTACTACTATAATTATTATATACTAAAGTTTTAGTCTCTGGCAGAATGACCAGCGCTATGGAACACGTCTGCTTCACATCATATAGCTGAGCCAGGGCCAGTTACAACCACAACACACACACATTACACACTTAAAATGTACCTTATTCCTTTTTATTCTTTGCATATTGTTTTATTATTTTTCATTATTATTATTGAAGTGAAACTTCTTTATCGGGGTTGGAAAAAAAATTTAGTGTAACATTTTTGCGTTACGCGTCACATTTTTCCGTTACGCGCCATGTTGCTTTTTGAAGTCAAACTTCTTTATCGGCGTTAAAATATGACATATATGTAGTATGATTTTGACTTTGAAGTTTGACAACGGATTACATTTTCGAAGTCAAACTTCTTTATCTGCGTTAAAATATGACATATATGTAGTATGTTTTTGATTTTGAAGTTTGACAACGGATTACATTTTCGACTTGAAATTTGCTAATCGCAATTTGCAGCAATTAATTTGTAAATTGTATGCTAGGCAGTGTATCAAAATTTACTGTGTTTAAAGAAATAGTTTCGGACCTCTAAACTTAAAACAAACCAATTATGGCTCTGCGTACAACAAAGGTTTTATATAAGTTTCACTTCTTACGTGTGTACACCTAGTACACGCACACATTTTTTTTTTTGTGTGTTTCTGTGTGTGTGTGTTTCGTTAGTAATAGATGTTATGTTAAGTTATGTTTATTTATACTTAAGTTGAAGAGAACAGTACTGAAGCTGATGTTGTAGCATAATAATAAAACCTATATAACTGTTCAACATAAACTTTCTTTAAAATTTTGACATATTAATTAAGAGAAAGTTTGCGCACTGCTCTTTAAACTTTTTTGACGCATATATTTATAGTGGAAACAATGACTTATTTGATTAAAGAAACAAAGTATTAAATCGTATTAAAGTGTTGAACCGTTTTTTAAAGTAATTTATGTTTATTCCTATTGACAAATGTGCACACAACTCCAGTTAAGCAAACATGTATTTAGGAACGTAAACACAACAGTCGACTAAAAGCTCACAAATCAGAATACGGAAATCCGATGTATTCTGTAAGTGTTCTTAGGCTAATACGATTGCTCTCGGTCGCCCGACTCAGAATGGTCGTTGCAAATTCGAAGCAGGCCAGAATTGCGCGTCAAGCCACCCGGAAAATTGTATCGCACAGGTTCACTGCTAATCTATGCATATTATGCTGTACTCTCTGAATGTCAAAATACTTAGGTGTCAGTTGTTTTAATCAAAAAAGGCGCCATAAAAAAACTAAGTAATTGCGTTATGTCAATAGACAAAAGAAATATTACATATTGAAGAAATATATTATTTATGAAGCAATTTTAAACAATATTATCCAGTTATTTACGTTAACTGTATTTTAAATTAAAATTGTACTTTCGCCATATCAATTATCTTAGAAGATATTTTTTTTGATATATCAGGGTTTAAAAATGCGCGGCCGTAGGCCCATAGAGAAGACAATTATAGTATTAAAATTTTATTTTATCTAAATATTTTATAATTTGAGGCTCATTACCATTCGTAGGAACTGTTCATAGTGTATTGTTATTACTCCATCTTGGTTTGGATCATGTTGACGGAATGCAGATGTTAATGTCTGAAAATAAAGATAATAATTAAGCACAACGCAGTTTTATCTTTTTAAACTATTTATGATATCAATAACGTAACGCTTTGAAGAATTTATGGAGCATATTATTTATTATGATTAGGTATAGTTAGTATGAATCATTGGGATTATGGCTTACTACTATGAACTGAAATGAAAAATAAAATTTTGCGCAAACATAAAAAATAAAAGTCTACGCTTATTTTATCAAATATATGAACTACGTAAGATTTTTAAAAATATTCGCTTATAAAAACTCATTGAATAAATTTAATATGTTAGAATCAAGCGATAAACATCGCAACGCCACTGCAACTTGATCCGTCATTAAAGGAAGAGAAACGCTCTAATGATCTTTCCCTTACAAAAAGAAACATTTTCGGTTTTCCAAAGAATCTAACATCTTGAACCCAAATAGAAATTATAACACGTTATTTACATCACAATGACAAAAACAGGAGTAAAATAAAAGAAAATTTAGGATGCAAATGGGCGGTCTTATGAGATATAAGCAGTCTCTTCCAGAAATACTGTGATGAAAATTCAGGCATCTAGTTTTATCCATAACGAAGTTATAGGGGTCAAAAATGGCCTGAACTGCTTCGTGAAAAGGATTCGTGCCGCTCACTGCCGTCCCCCCAGATACCGGGTGTCTGACAGTGAGTCAGACAGTCGGTAACAAATAAAACGTATACTTACGTAAAGTGTGACACAGCACTGAATGAAATCATCGAAGAGAATAGTCCCTTGGCCATATCTATCAAACTTCCGTACCATCATATCGGCTGTATCATCAGGAAGGCGATAACCAAAGGCATTAAGGGCATTTTTTAATTCCTTGCTGTCTATATTTCCCGAACTATCTGTATCAAATGATCTGAAGCACTTCTGCCAGTCGCTCACGTATTTCCAAAGAGTTCCAAAGTCATTGAAAGATATTACACCCCTATTTTCCTTGTCAAACATACCTGGAAACTCTGTCCACGTTAAATACTGTACTAAGGTTAACAATTGAGTAACTGATTATCTCATAATTAAATTATTAATCTATAATCAAGACTAATGTGAACAATCAAATAAAACACTATTTATAAAATGATGTAAATCAATGATCAAAAAAAAACCATAGGCGCTACAACCTTTTAGCCTGTGATCATTTGTTTTTGAAGTAAAACTTCTTTAGGCGCATGAGGGTAAAATTTTTACGGATGAAACGCAATAATAATAATATTAGCGTCACGAAGATGTGCAGCGTTTTTGACGAAGAAAAGGGAGAGAGCGATTGAGACCGATTGAGAGAGCAAATTACGTTATATAGACTTTCTTTTTTTTAAATAAAAATTTTGTAAAGAGAATTTATGAAGTATTAGTATTTTATATTTCATGCAAAATAATTTATTAAAATCTCAAATGACGAATTGTAAATTAAAATGCCACATGTTTTTAGACATAAATTTACAAATTGAAGAAGTTAAATTTATAATTTGTATTAATTTTCGACACTTAATATTTTAATGACAAAAAAATTCATTAAATTCCTAACATATCTTCCTTTTGTTCGTGTTTGTGCCATCGACTTTTTGTGTTTAGAAACGCTGATTTCCTCGCGATGTTTTCCTCACGCGTAGGAGCAAGTGTTACAAATCTAAAAGCAAAGATTACCAAAATAACAGACACGGTACTGTAATGCTCCTTCTATACAAAGGCTGCAGTTGCAATTGTTTGAATATATCGTTTGATAACAATAGAACTAACCTATCATAAGTCGGACCGTTTCTGGATTAAAAGGATTCCATGTTCCATTTGAAAGCGCTTGTTGCAACTCATCAGCTGATATGTAGCCGCTTCTGTCTTTGTCAACACTGTAAGACAATTTTACGCTTACTTAAAGCTTTAATTAGGTAAAATGTTAATATGAATTCATAGCCTTCGCCCGTTGTTGCGTTATACAATTTTAAGCAAGTGATTTAACAAATTAGTATAATTAAAAACATTAGTCGGATAAACAGCTGTCTATACAATATTTCATTACAATTCCTCCAGTAGTTTTTGAGTTAATTGCGTTAAACAATTTAAACGAAGTTTGTGTTTTACCGGTAAAATATACTAATAGATTCACAATAATTATTTTATTAAATTAGAACGGAATAAAAATGATGTGATAAGCGTCTTATTACTTAATATAAAACAAGATTTTTAGAGAACAAACCTTACGAAGATGCTCCAAAGATAATCTCTACCAGGCATGGGAGACTGGAACTGCATTTTGAATCTGAATACATTTTGTAGGATGTATAATAAATATAGGGAGTATAAATGACACATTAAACAGCGAAGCTACAATTCCTAGGCTTGGCCTCGGATATCTGTTTTTTTTAGTAACGTTATGTCCCTTTTATTTTTTATGTTACAGGAGGCAAACGGGCACGAGGCTCACCCGATGTTAAGTGATGATGAAGAGCTGCTGGCCTTTTAAGAATTGGTACGCTCTTTTCTTTTAAGGACCCTAAGTCGCATTGGTTCGGAAATACTTCAGTGGGCAGCTGGTTCCACATAGTGGTGGTGCGCGACAGAAATTGCCTTAAGAATCGCTCAGTTGTGGAAGGACGGACGTCAAGGTGATACGAATGGTATTTTGTGTTCTGCCTTGACTTCCGTAGATGTGTCTAATTTTAGGCTGCTGGTGTAATAATAATAAATTTTATTGAAAACACTACGACGCTAGTCCCCACACTACATCACAGGATGTAACTGCAGGGAGCTCTTATGTTGTGGGTGACTAGACTATAGCTTTCATATTTTACGCGGTACACGTTTAAAACAAAAGAAATACAAGTAAAGTATATGTTTTCCTTCACTGTGCAAACAAATGTCAAATTGTGCACATAGAAAGAAATATCCATTTGTGCACTCTCGTCTCCGATTTCAGGGCTCAGAGCCATTAAAAATAGGTCGTGATACACTATCCTCACGACTAGGAGCTTTAAATGATATGTTATTAATAACTATAATTATATTCGGATATGACTATAAAACACTAAAGTAACAGCCCTAATTTCTAAAATTAGATTTCTACGTTTCTTAATAGTAATATTTCAACACTTACTTTATTATGAGTTAAATAATCAACAAAACGCAAACTAATTGATAAAAAATAGTTTTACGCGTTTATTGCGTATATTTTTACATACGTTAGCATACTTATTTCTAATTCTTAATTCTGAATCTTACCTTACAAATGTTTGACGCAGAGTTATGTTACGTTGATGTTACTTCGACATATGTTGCTGCTGTTATAAACGTCACGAAAAGAATTACAATATAAGACTGGTTCACTTATCAAAACTGACAATGATATCACATTACCGCCACATTCTCATATCTTACCTGATTAAATCTTATCTGAATTTATGCCAGGTAAATATTCAAACAATTGAGCTATTGAGCGTGCAATTTTATTCCGCATACATTCTTAATGGAATGATTTCCAGTTGATTGAAAAATAATTTAATGAAATTGCTGCAACCGGTATGCTATCAATTCATTTTTATCATTTATTTTTTGTACATCCTATTTATGCTATTTAAAATTTCATTGAATTCCGAGAAGGCTTTCGAATATTATGAAATATTATACATAACGGCGACTCACACCCACAGTGATTCTCACGAATTCATTGATGATATAAATGTGATAGTAGTGATACTACAAATATAGTCATGTTATTATCAACAATAACAATTCAGTGGAATCCGTTTCTTTGATAATTTGCAATCTTTATAGACTTCTGTGCCGCCTTCTGTAGATTTTTATAGATTTCAGAAATGGGGGTATCTTTACGATTTTTGCCTTTGGATTACATGTTAAAAGCGAGAGTCAATTGGCACAGCCGTGTTTCGAACACACGACCTCACGGTCGAATGTCGCCCAAGCCAACACTGCTCGATTCAAAAAGCTTGGTAGAAACAGGCGGATGTCTACTCTATAAACAAAAACATTAATGAAACAGAGTCTGCCCTATTACTATGAAACTCCTAACATTTTAATACAGAAGAAAAAAGTTGAAGCTGAACGGTAAATAGCTTCATCAAAATCTTAGATATTATTAAACTAATGCTTACTTAAAACAATGTGAGTTTGTAGGAATTGCTAACACTTCTGCACCGACTTAGGAATTTTTTTAGCAGGAACTTATCATCTTTTGACGCGGGCAATAGTTGGTAACATTTCTTCGCAACGTTTTTTTTTATAGAACAGGGGGCAAACGGGCAGAAGGCTCATCTGATGTTGAGTGCCTGCCCATGGACACTCAATGCCAGAGGCGAGTGCGTTGCGGGCGTTTAAAGAATTGGTACGCTCTTTTCTTTGACCCTAAGTGGAATAGGTTCGGAAATACTTCAGTATTATTTTCCATAAGAGTTATTGACTGTAATGAAAAATCCAATATTGCATGCGCCTTAAATTGGGTAACGTTATTCTCGTAATGATTTTGTGAATACAGCCCTAAATATCAAAATACTTCACTTAACGTAGTCTAGTATTTGGAGAAATAAATTAGCTTAACGACCGCTACATTGAATTACAGGTAATTGTTATTTATGGTAAGTGCAAACATGCTATTTGGAACACTTTGTATTATGGATATTTATGATATACTAGTTAATATGCGCTACTTTAATTTTGTTTTATATCTGTCTTTCACACCATCTAGGAACCGTGACGCCAGATTTAGCCTGATTCCTTACTTGATGGCAGTTTTTCCCGCGCATCATCACTATGTGAAACCAGCTGCCCACTGAAGTATTTCCGAACCAATTCGACTCAGGAAACTTTAAGAAAAAAGCGTACCATATCTAAAAAGGCCGTATCACTTAACGGTGAACTTATCAGGTGAGCCTCTGGCCGTTTTCCCCGTTATACAAAAAAACGTGCTAATGATAATATAAATAAATAAAAAATCTGCGTTTACTGCACAAGACGTTATGCCACAGAATTGCCATCTAAAGTTCTAATATGTATGTATGTCTAAAGTTCTACTATACTAATACATTAACCAATAGCGTGTATTTTTCTCGATCTCCCTTGCTCTCTCTCTAATCTTTCTGACTATAGCTCTCTCCCACCTCTCGCTCCATGGCACTGTGCGTGATGTGACGTTCGCCCTATCTCACTCTATCTCTCTTTCTCTCTCTTTCTCTCTTGCTTGCTCTCTACTCTCGCTCCATAGCTATTTGCTTCATGCTACGTTTACCCTTTCTCACTCTCTCTCAATCGGTCTCAATCGCTCTTTCCCTTTTCTTCGACAAAAACGCTGCACATCTTCATGACGCTAATATTATTTTTATTGCGTTTCATCCGTAAAAAAATTTACCCTCATGCGCCTAAAGAAGTTTCTCTTCAAAAACTTATAACGGAAAAGCAGTCGTGTGTTGCAAACAAATGTATTCTACTAATACTGTATTATCTATTTAAGACTTCGTAGCAAAAATCAATACAAATTATCGCTTATTGCTTTCGAGGGACTTCTTCCAGGCAACCCTTATTTACCATCCAACCACTACCCTGTGTCTATATACCTTAACAAACGCTTGGCGAAAACAAAGCGCTATAATTACTTTTATACGATACTTTCAGGTCATTAATGAGGCATGTACAGCTGGTTTTGGTGTTTCAAATGTCAGGAGTATCTGTTTAGTATTTGTACAACAAAATATAAGAGAGGGTGAGATGTAAGAACCTAACAACCCTACAGATCCCTAAGCCCTACAGATGTACCCTAACACAAATTGTGAATATATAATTACATATAAATATCTACGGGCTGTCTGCACCAAAAGACCTAAGGTAACACGGACGGTCAATGGTTCAAGGTAGTGATTATCACAAAGCTACCGGGCAGGCTCACCACGATAAAGGGCTTGAAGGAGTCTTCGCCACTTTGAGAGGAAGCGAGTGAATAAGACAGAGAAATATTCAAATCTGATTTATTGTTATAAAACAATATCTTAAATACTACTTAGGTACACCTATTCACACATACATAATATTATTCTTGTGAGCAGTCGGTGTATCGCATCTTCAGCTATTAAAGTATAGAACAGTGGCTGTCGAGTAGTAGACTGTAGCACGGGAGATGTGTCAGCAGTTGGTCAATGTTCAAATGAAATCTAAACAAGGTATATAAATAACCGTATCGGCACTGACCAGTTTTTCGTCATTATTGGTTTGACTAGATTAAAATGAAAGTTTCAAAGGAAACCTGACAGAAACAAAAACACATTTATAGCTTATTTATTATTATTAGTGGTGAAATAAATAAAACAAATAACAGGTACAGATTTATTAGATAAAATTAAGTCAGTCATTTTAATACATAAGACAAAAAGTAATACTAAAAATTTCCATAGTAAATGCAATTAATGGCAATTGTTAATTTATCACAACGCACTAGTTTAGCTACACTGGCAGGTAACTAAAAAAACCTTATAAAAAAATCAAATATTTTTATTCTAAATTCAAAAAGTTCAGACAGTTCGGTAAATCTATCAAAAAAAATGAATAAAAAAAGTCCGATGCGTAATAAATATCTACATTATAATTGACTTTCCAATTCCTCATAATCATTATTCATTAAATTTACATATTTTTTTCATACTTTCAAAGATTAGACTATTTCAGATACACAAATATACAAGTGTATCGTTTGGGTAACCATACTGAAATATTTTACTTTTGTAAAAAAAAAAAACATTTTATTTGTAATAACTGCAATATGAGGGCATTTATGCTCCAATCAGCTATAATAAAAAAAAATGCAATAGCCATAAAAAAATTATATAAAACAATACATAATCATACAAATTCAAATCGATCACAGATGATTTTGCAAATATATTTTACTAAGATATATAATCAAAATATTTCAGCATGGAGAAAATTTGTAACAATATTTTCTAAAGTGCGAATGAGTTGTTGTATATACAGGGTGCGTCAATCATAGTTAACAAATAACTATTATAGGCTTCTGACTAGGAACAAATCAATATTAATACAAAATCTAATATAATTCAATAATAAAAATTACTTTATTGATTCAATTTTTTTTATTCAATAATATAATTTAATTTGGCCTAGTGAAACCCAACGTAAAATAATACTTTTCAATTGAAAACAGCTACCTAACAATATATTTAGGAAGCTCTTAATTGCTTATCTAAATATTTACACATATTTACATATTAATCTAATGAGGCACAAACATTATA